TTCCCTACAAACTAATCTACTGAATTTGTAGCCCATATTCCTTCCCGGGCTTATGAAACGCTGGGCTTGTAGTTAATTAACTCCCATTTTGCACTTTTTTTCCGGGTCCAGGGCATAGTCATCCTCCTCTTTGAGTGAAATGTAGCCCAAGACATAGTATGAGCTTATGCCCTGCATAATTAGAGGGGCTGCAGTTTACGCTCTATCCCTTCTCTGAAACTTGGTCATACTTCCTGGAAATAGTCACGATGCAGTTTGCTCTGGTCACCGGGGAACAATGTGGAGGAGTGTAAGGGTAGTGGATGGAAAATAGAAAAAGGCATCTTCTGTCTCCTAACATCCTAGTGTTTTTTAGAAAGGTTGATGTGCAGACAGTATGCACCCCTTCTACCTCTCTCTCTCTCTCTCTCTCTCTCTCGCTCTCTCTCTCTCTCTCTCTCTCTCTCAGCCTGTCTTCTTGCCTAGCCTTAACCATGCCATCTCCCAACCCCAGGATGTCTCTAATTCATCGAGTCTCATTTCCAGTTCCCTATTGACTATAGTATACTTCTGCATTTATACAAAAAAGAGTTCTATTCCACTGTGTAGCACAGGGGCGGACAATTATTTCAGGTGGAGGGCCACTTAACAAGTTTTGGCGAGCTGCCGGGGGCTGCATAGGTAGCTCTGCCCCTTTACAGTTGCCTGTATGTGGTGGGGGCTGTGGGGACAGGATGTGTGGGTCTGTGAGATTTGTGCAATGCAGGGATCCCTGCACACACCCCAACATGGCACACAGCCCCTGCTGCTGGTAGCAGCAGCAGGTGGAGAGAGGACTGGGGGGCTCAGGGAGCTCATGCCCAGCCCAGGCACTGGTGCCTAGCGGGGCGCAGCTCTGGGCAGCGCTGTGTGGGCGTGAGGAGCACAGCCTGTCTGGCTGCCTCTTTCGCAGGGGGGCTGTGCCACATGCCTGCAGCTCCCACCCTCACATGGGAAAGCCCCACACTGGACTCTGCAGGGAAATGGGACAGGGCTCCCTCCACTCTGGGCAGAGTCCAGGGACCTGCGCAGCAGGGAGTGAAGAAGGCAGCAGGTTCCAGCACAGGGCTTTCCCTGTTGCGAATGCAGGAGCTGCAGGCATGCCATGCTAGAGGTAGCAGCAGGAGCCAGCTGGGAACTGCGGAGCTGGGCTGGCTCCTGCTGCATTCTGTGATTCTGGCATTGGAGCCGGAAACCGTGGCACAGCAAGGCCGGGCACCTCTTGGCAGCTCACTGTTTCTGGCTGCAACACTGGGACCGCAGAATGCAGCAGGAGCCAGCGTGGCCCCATGCTTCTCAGCTGGCTCCTGCAGGTCCTGGCCTACAGGGTCCCAAGCTCCCTCCTGCTGCCACTTGCCCCCCCCTGCACCTGCTGCTGCTGCCTTTCTCCTGCTGCTTTTCTTCCCTCCCCACTGTTTCCTGGCCTGCTTCTCCCTGGCCTACTCCCCATTCACAGCTCTGGCATCACGTGATGCAGCAGGAGCACCATACGGTTGCCAACTGAGAACTGCATGGTGCTGGCTGGGCCAGGCTGGCTCTTGCTGTGCCGGTAGTCCTCCCCACCCTCTGCCCATTCTTACCTGAATTTCCTCCTCTAATGGAGGGAACAGCCCCAGGGGGCTGGAGGTGGGCGGGGGCTGGGCCGGTGGGCCTTGCTACTCTTCCTGCTGGTCCTGCTGCCACTGGCTCCTGTCATCTTTGACAGGCAGCCAGGAGTAGATAAATATTCATTAAAAAAAATTTTTTTTGAAGCCCCATGGGCTAGATAGAATGGCCTGGCAAGCCAGATCCAGCCTGCTGGCTGTATTTTGTCCACCCCTGATGTAGCAGGACACTGGGATGTGTCTGCTCCTTTTAGGGGAGTAAGCAGCCTGAGAGGCTGCTTGCAGGTGGCAAAGAGGGGGTAATTAAGGACTCACCTACTCAGCTTGAGCTATATAAGCTCTGAGCCTGAGCCAAACAGCCAGTCCAGCCCTGGGAGCCATGAAGTGAGGAGCTCAGAGCAGCAGGGCTCCTGAATACTGAGAGAGAGCCACTCTGCAACCAGGGAACAAGGGAGGGTACCTGGGACAGAGAAGGGCTTGGTTATATGGGCATGTGGCCCTGGTTTATGTTAAGCCTAGAGAAGGCTTGAGTGCCTGCCAGAGGATGTTTGATCATTAAGTTGTACTCAGCAGGGGCTGAGAGTGGGATGCAGCAGGGGCTGCAAGGGCCTAGAGAGTAGGGATCTGGGGATCCACAAGCCCCAGGCCAAGGAAGAGCTAGGAGTGTGATTGGAGTGGATACAAGCAGGGATGAAAGAGTAAGACTTAAGAAGTTCTAAAAACAGGGAGAGTACCAGAATGTGGGATCTGGAGGTTCAGGATCCAGGTTGACTGACAGTCACACCAGAGGATCCACGGGTACAGGGTGAGAGCCAAATGAAGGCCCATGGGTCTGAGAGGGGCTGCAAGCTGGACTGGGGGTCTGAGAGCCTGGAGAGAGGGGCTACAAGCCAGATCAGAGGCCCAGGAGCCCAGAGACGGGGTTGCGTGTGAGACCAGGGGCCTGGGAATCCAGAGAGAGGGTCTGTGCATGGGACCAAGTCTGGGAGACCAGAGGGGGCCAAACATGGGACCAGGGCATCTGAAAGCTTTAGAAGAAAGGCTGAATGAGGGGCCAGGGGATCCAAGGGCCCAAGGCAGGCCACCTGCAAGGCGTGGGGCATTGTGTAGGGGAGGAAGAGGCAGGAGCAATAGCAGAGGGCTCTTCCTGCATCCATGTCAGGCCCAGGCAGCTGGGAATTGTGCCCATGCTGCCCATGCTGTTGCTGCTTCTCTCAAACCACCCCCCCCCTTCCCTTTTTTTTGGAATGCAAGTGTAGCATCCAGATGATGGGGAGCTGCATTAGAACTGGGCAGCTGGAAACAGCATCCATACCGCTATTTCTAACCATCTCCCAGCTAGAAACTGTCTAGCCCCAGGGCAGTTCTCCACTGGCTGGAAACTGCTCACGCCCCAGCCTTGAAGAGGGTTGGCAGGGACAGGGAGAAGCAGCTGCGGCACAGGCACAGTTCCTCTCTGCTTAACCCCAGTGGGTCCATGGGTCAGATCCATATGTCGCTGATCTCTGCATTAGATAAAAATTGAAGAGTGGGAAAAAAAGATTTTATGGGTCTTTAGAAGTCTGGTGATAGAATGCAGACAGTGTTAGGGGGAGGTTTAAGTAACACACAAGGAGTAGGAATCAAAGGCAGCGGACAAGTATTCCATTTGTGCCAGGAGAACAATCTTTCTCACAGCATAGAAAGAAAGTGTACAGCTGTTCAAGGTTGTTTTTGCAGAAGAGAATTGCAAAAGGAGGAAGATCTATAAGGAGGATCTCTCTTTTCCTGTACCAACTGAATGCCTACATGCTTCTCCCAATCCCACAGTCCTCCACTCTCCCTCCTTCCCTCCCTGCAGGCTAATAGGGAACCTAACGCTCTCCTCCCTCCAAGAGGGATGGAGGAAGAGCACTGGTTCCCTGTTAATCTTCCCTGGGTGAACTGTCAGGGAGCCTGGAGGGAAATTCTCCCTCCGTTGAAAAGAGCTGGGTCACCCTGGGTCTAGTAATGGGTGGAAAGACATTCCCCTGCAGCTCCATAGGTCAGGTGACTGGGGAATTCCCCATCCTGACAATCATCACTCTGGAGCTGACCCTATGCCAGGGAAATTCTCTCATAGCTAGAATTGTCTCACAGCCAGGGGATAGATCTAGCTTCAAGTACATCTTCTTGTTGTCCTGTATCTGGGTGACTCCTGGAGCTATGCATAGGAGGGAAGGGATTCTCCTGCAGCTGGATCCTTCCCAGACCAGGGTCTAGTCTGGTTGGTGTACTAATACATGACCATATTTGCCTGACACGCATGCAAAAGCCATGTAGAGTTCAGCACAAAGCACCACAGC